AAACGCCATTTCCCGGCTCTTTTTGGAGCAAAGGAAGGCCGGGCCAGGCTGGGCTGGGCTGGGGTGAGGAGCGGGATCCGTTCAGGAGGTGGCCCAGTGCACATTTGGGACGCTGCTGGGATGGCTTAAAAATAGGCCTGTGTCCTTGGACATCAAGGGAAAGCAACCCCAGGGTTTGCAAGGGGCCTTTCCTGGCCAAGGTCGCTGGCCCTCCCTGGGAGAAACCGTTCAGGACGTATTCCCCAGGCCCACAGTAGGTATCTCTGACCTGGGGAAAAAAACCTTTTCTCTAATAAGGTGGTTTTAAAAAGAGACCGAGTGTTTAGTGAACACCTACTATGTGCCACATACTGAGTATCTGATGAGTTGGCCTCCTTTTTTCTCAGCAATCTTGCAGCGTGCCGATGACTCTTACCGGTTTTCTAGGTCTGGTTGGGGGGGACCCAGAGACATTAAGCATGTACCTCAAGATGACACAGCTAAGATATGACAAAACCGGAATTAAACCGGGTCTGTCTGTCTCCAAGCCTGTGTTCTTTCTAACTGCCTCTCAAGCTGAGATTTAGAAAATAAAAACATTTAGTGAGCATCTACTATGTGCCAGGACTCCCGCTGGGCTCTCTCTGTGCTCTCTCGGGGACGTGAAAATGCAATGCGGGGTAGGCTGTGCATGTGGGGAGGCCGAGGCAGTTTTTGTCCTTTCCGAGCTTTCCATAGTGTGGCTGCAGCGTCTCCTGCAGTGATTTAAAGGCTGAAGTCCGGGTTTTCCGCGGACATCTCCCAACTCGGATGCCACTCTCCCTGGGCCGAGCTAAAAGCAGGTGTGGGTGTACAATTTGGAGGTTGCCTGCTCTTTTATGTTCAGCATTTTCAACTTGTGTAAATAACACATCTTCTTAGAAACGTTTTCCCTCTGTTTTCTTTAACGCACATCAGGGCTCTGGCCTCAGAGAGGGGGAAAAAAGAGTGTTTATCCCTCATTCCCTGAAGGAAGTTGGCTCATATCATCAAGATTAAACAAATATGTAAACTTCGCTGGTGACTTGGCTGCAGTGCACCCTAACATATAGTTGGATTTGCAGGACTCTTCCCCTTATAGTAACAAAGCAGAGTTTCGCCCAGCCCAGCATTCACTTCCATCATGAGGCCGCTCTGAAGGAACATCTGCTTAGAATTCCCAAGTCCTTTGGAATGGAAACTCTCCGATTAAGAGATAAGGTTGGAAAAGCAACAGTGATGTCAGGGGAGCTCAAAATAATCAAATAAGGGTGGCTTGTGGTCTCTGGGGCTCCGAAGGGCTTTCATCTGTGGTCGTATTTAATGTTTCCTGGAGAGTTTGCCGGCTCCGAGGACCTTGGAGAGAATCCGGCCTGTGGGACGCGGGAGGAGGCGGCGGCCAGGAGCTGGTGGCTCGGACGGACGGGGCCGTAGCATGCGTGCGCGAGGACCTTGGGCTGCCTCTCCTGGTGGTTTTCACCGGTGGCATTTCCCCAGTCGTTGATTTCTGTCCGAATGAACTAGCTCTCCCGTGGGCCCTTGCTTACCCTTGTGGTTCAGAGCTGGCCGCAGCCTGGCTCTGCGTCCCGGTCCTCGCTGCCGGGGGCCCCTCCCTGGCGGGCAATGCTGGCTGCCTGGCTGGAAGCCCTTCTGGGACCTTGGAGAGAATCCGGCCTGTGGGACGCGGAGGAGGCGGCGGCCAGGAGCTGGTAGCTCGGACGGACGGACGGGGCCGTAGCATGCGTGCGTGGAGACCTTGGGCTGCCTCTCCTGGTGGTTTTCACCGGTGGCATTTCCCCACTCGTTGATTTCTGTCCGAATGAACTAGCTCTCCCATGGGCCCTTGCTTACCCTTGTGGTTCAGAGCTGGCCGAAGCCTGGCTCTGTGTCCCGGTCCTCGCTGCCGGGGGCCCCTCCATGGCGGGCAATGCTGGCTGCCTGGCTGGAAGCCCTTCTGGCTCCCTGTCCCCCACGCTGTGCAATCTGAGCCTCTCGGGCTGGCATTTAGGGCCTTCGTGTCTGGTCCCTGTGATGTCGATGGCAACCTCACCCCTCGCCCCTAGGAAGCAGGGGCTGCCCAACCTCAGACACTCTGCCACGCCAACCGTAGTACTTACTCTGCAAAGTCTGGCTCCCCCCGCTCTGCCCCTAGTGTTCCCTCAGCCTGGAATATCCCCTCTCTTCCCTCAGGACCTGGCTCTGGTGAAGCAGGGGCTGCCCAACCTCAGACACACTCTGCCACACCAACTGTAGTACTTACTCTCCCTGCAAAGTCTGGGCCCCCCCCCCAGTCTGCCCCTAGTGTTCCCTCAGTCTGGAATATCCCCTCTCTTCCCTCAGGACCTGGCTCTGTGGGCATCACCTTCTGTCCGGTCCCTGGTTGAGTCTGGGGCCTCTGGGCCCCGTCGTCACCCAGGCCTAAGGGAGTCTGGAATGTCAGCACCACCGAGTGGGCCCCTCATCTGCCTAGGTGGCTGCTGTGTTTCCAGTGCCCGGCATGGTGCCTGGCACATACTAGGTGCCCCCTAACGTTTGACAAATGGAGGAATGGCTCTTGTTCCTGAAGTGCCTTTTCTTATGTGGGACCGTGGCTTCATTCCTTGTGTTGTGTCTTCTATGGGTCAGTGGCTTCTGTTCGGAGAGAGGTCTTCCCTGCATGGTTTCCTCCCTCGGTGCCTGGGGCCTTCCCCTTGGGCCCGGGGAGGGTCGGCCATGGCGTGCCTGCCTCCTCATCGCCTCTCCCTCTTCATTTTCTCCTGCCCTCCCTCCCATTAGCCTCAGTAGTAATTGACCCCCCTGATGTGCCCAGAGCACTGTGAGCCCCGTGGCTGGGCGTGGGAGGAGTGGTCCCTGCAGTGGCCTGCCATGCCCTGGGGTGCCATTCTTCTCCCACCACTAGACCATCGTGTGCCAGGGAGTGCCTGCCATTAATGAGCAACAGCACAGACTCATGCAGTAACCACCCACCCGCCACCCCCAGGCTGAGGGGGCCCCGGGAACTGCCCCTGGGATGGAGGAGGAGGAGGAGGAGGGAAGGATGACGCTTTCACCTCAGTCCCAGGCCACCTGGATGCATGGCCAGCAACCAGATCCTTTCAAAGAGACCATCCCGGCCCAGCCGGTGTGGCTCAGTGGTTGAGCATCAATCTATGAACCAGGAGGTCATGGTTCGATTCTCGGTCAGGGCACATGCCCAGGTTGTGGGCTCGATCCCTAGTAGGGGGCATGCAGGAGGCAACCAATCAATGATTCTCTTATCATTGATGTTTCTCTCTCTCTCTCTCTCCCTCTCCCTTCCTTTCTGAAATCAATAAAAACATATTTTAAAAAATAAGAGACCATCCTAATATTCTCCAAGTCCTTTGGGGCAAAGTTCCCTAAGAAATGCATCCTGAAAGGTGCATGTCCTAGAAAAGTCACCTTGCTTATAAAGGATGTCTTCATTTTCTGTGGTAAAGGGAAGGGCAGGCACAGAATTGTAGCCTCGGTCTCCTTGGCTATATCAGGATATTATTAGTTGCCTATTAAGCACATACTTTGCGCCAGGCCCTATTCTAGAAACTGCAGCCACAGCTCTTTCAGCAGCTGTGCGAGTTAAGCAATGTCCCCATTTCACAGGCGAGGAAACGGGCTAGAGAAGTGACCAGCTCTCCCACCCATCCCAGCCAGGAAGGGCCGGCGCCTGGCTCCAGACTGGACTCTATTGTGAAGCCAAGGTCCCACCTTTCATTCTCTTGCCACGGGATCCCTGGACCTCAGTCTTTCTGTTGCTGTTTCTGAACAAAAAATTTCAGAGAAA